ACTTTGTCCTAACACTTTTGTCACAGTACTGTATGTGTGTGCGTCTATATATATATATATATATAAATAAAAACAAACATCTATAGCTTTTATCAATTTTGTATATTTCATTCAAGTTTATGTAGTTGTATAAATTCAATCAATAAAAGCTTTCAGCCAAAAATAAAATTAAAACTTTTTTGAGTCTGCCTTCGAAGGAAATTACTTCATTGTAATTATATACTAACGAGAAAGTGATCTAGGTTCCACAGTTATAAAATTAATCAACATCTTGGTTCTTTGAAAAAAACTAAATATTAATCTTACAAACTTCTTTACTAATTAAATTCTATGTTTCTTATAACAAACACCAATGATATCAAATAAATTAATAAATGAATTTCATGGTATCAAACTCAGCATTAAACTTCTGTTGCAAGACCGACAAATTATACAAAATATATCCTACTGTTTTCTACTTATCCAAATTTAACACATTTAATCTATGTTGGTGAATTATAGAAACGTTTCTACCATACATGTTTTCCCCTCCACTCAAATTCAACTTTCATACTTTAAAAGAAGAACTGAAATCTGCATAAACTTGGGAGATTAATGCCCAAAATAAAATTACTATAAAAACACAATATTCATATAGAAACAGACTTTTTTTCATAAAGTAATGTTTTGAGCAACTGCTACTTTCCAGACTTAATATGAAAATGGAATTAATTACAGTTATATGTTTGAGTTATTTGTGTTCTTGCATGACACAAGACAAGCAACATTCACTTAAATGGAAAAAGTATGGAAGTAAAAACATGTTATACAACTTCAAGTAGATAAACAGACAATGTTAAATACATTTCTTTCTATTTCAACATTGTGTGTTTTTACAGTGATTTTATTTTGTGCATTAATCTTCCAATGTTGTACAGATTCCAATTCTCCTGAACACTTCATTATTTCCACAACGATGCTGAGCTTAAGATGTTTTTTCAGCATTCTACAGCTTTTCTTTTCTATCCTAACAGAGTACTGTAGCCATATCAGTTTTATTATGACTTATCTAAAATTTAACGTCATTTGGATTTCATCAAGATCTCTAAAACCAGCTATATTTCAAATATCTCTATACAATATAAGCTCATCAAGTGTTCTAGAAGACTAACTCATAATAATTACTGCAAGATTTGTAGCACTAAATCTCAAGATATAATACACAACTTCAAAATCCGGATCAAAGTTCCACCATCACCTCATTCTTAAAAAACTCAGGAAACTCCCTAAATTAGGATTTCTAACACTAATTCATATAACTCAGTAGCCTGTAATTTTCTTGACCAACAATCTAAGACTGTTTTCACTATACCATCAGACTTACAACTCAGAGATGCCAAAGATCATATTCTATCAAAATGACCAAATGTTTTACAACCAGATCTGATAAATATACCGTTAAAGTAGACGTAGAAGATTTTTCCAACAACTTTGCCAAAAGTCTAATTTTTTCTTCAACCATCAAAAAGCGATACAGCCAGAGGTCATAGTGTCAAAGAATCTCCACACCATGAAAGCAATCCAGTCCCAGCTTATTGCTAATAATGATGCAATGTGCATCATCCAACAACTTGGACACAAAGAGTTGTTAGACTCCAAAACAAGACAAGATTTCCTCACTATACACTTTCATCTCAATGTGCAAGTCATATACGTCTGAACTTTGAAAAGATCTACAAACAGAAAAACTCACCTATAGAAGAAAAAAAATGCTTTATCATCCTTACAGTGACATGAAGACACTGTTATTAAGCAATCATACAAGGGAGGAGTTGTCATCATTTGGAAACGTGAATAATATATTGAAGAAGGACTCAGACAACTCGGATATGAAAATTTCTATGCTTAAGTTAGTGATGATGCCACTTTATAATTCTCACATACTGTTTAAACAATTAAAAACCTAGTTTACCATTAACAATCTTCCTCCGAATGCTTAGATTTAATCATCCAGTATCCCAAATTGCTGTCCTTTTATTTGCTGACTAAGATAAACCTAATAAATCAGGTTGTCAAATTATATCTGCTTGTAGCTCTCGCATGGAAACAACCTATAGCTTCAATCATGAAGCTTTCTAATCTGTTGGCCAACTTCCATCCTTCAGACATCTCTAATGTTTTCAATATCTTAAATAACATTATCACTAGGAAGTTACCATCTCTTTATCATGGATATATATAGTCTCTTTAAACAGCCACTCCTCATAATAGTTGTATGCTGGCTTTAAAACATTTTTTGAACAAACGAGAGATGCAGTAACCCACAATAGAAAAACTTTTAACAGTAGTTGAACTTATATTTAACTTAACTGCCTTTTACTTGAATAGCTCATACTATAAGCAAACTAAAGGAGTTGCCATGGGAATAAAAATGGGACCTTCCTATACTAAACTTTTTGATGGGTATTTGAAAGCACAGGTGTTTGCATCCTTTAATGAAACCCTATTACGTATAAGATTCAATGATGATATTCTTGAGATTTCACACAGTAATCCAGAACTACACAAAATGTTTCAATTTGATGCATAAGTTTCTCATAGGTTTAGGTTATAACTGCACCCTCTCAACCAATTGACATTAACTCAGTACAAAAAAAAAATAAAATACCTGCACCCTCTCAACCATTAGTGTTCCTTTCTTTTACATTAACACAGTACGAAAAACAAAAATACCTGCACCCTCTCAATCAATAGTGTTCCTTTCATTGACATTAACACAGTACAAAAAACAAAAATACCTGCACTCTCTCAACCAATAGTGTTCCTTTCACTGACATTAACATAGTACAAAAAACAAAAATACCTGTACCTTCTCAACCAATAGCGTTCCTTTCTTTGACATTAACACAGTACAAAAAACAAAAATACCTGCACCCTCTCAATCAATAGCATTCCTTTTTTTGACATTAACACAGTACAAAAACAAAAATACTTGCAACCTCTCAACCAGTAGCATTCCTTTCATTGACATTAACACAGTACAAAAAATAAAAATACTTGCAACCTCTCAACCAGTAGCATTCCTTTCATTGACATTAACACAGTACATAAGCCTTGACCTTCTACTGCCAAGACATTTTAACAAAATCAATCATTCCATTGCTAATTTATCAGTATTGGCTCTCAAATGTGCACTCCTTGACAGGACCAAAAGAGAAAGAGATGAACAGAATTTTTTTAAAATTAGGTACCAAACAACTTCTTGGAATGGACAAATAGTTTTCTTTCACTTATTCGTCTCCTATGTTGTTCAACTTGTATTATTGTTTTATTTCCATACGTTTTCCCATTGTAAGTACAAATTGTTTGTCTTGAGTCCTAGAATCACACGAGAACATAAGTTCTCAAACCTATAACTGTTATTAATTCCATTTTTCCTATAACACTTGAAGAAGAGCAGTTGCTCAAAATGTTGCTGTATAAATTAAATTTGTTTCTATTTCAATGTTGTTTTTACAGTGACTTTGGTTTTGCATTTCATACTTTAAAACATATTAATGCAAAAATCTAACCTGTTCAAGATCTAAATTTGTAAAAGCTTTCTGGAGATAACGCACTCCACCGTGAATCAGCTTCGTGCTACGACTGCTGGTCCCAGAGGAAAAATCATCGAGCTCAACGAGGGCAGTCTCCAAACCTAATGATATAATACAACTCTTACCAATAGATAGAAAATTAAATTTACTTTATTAGAGACAAACCTGACTACTAAGGATAATATTTCTCTTGTAATCTCATTTATGATGGAAGTTAAAGATTATTCACAAGTTTTGGAATCTTTAAGAATTCAAAAATGCTACTTGATGCCTGTATTTAATGATACAGAAAAAGAACAATTATAACATAAAAATAATTGAAAGAGCAGTGGTATTTTTAAACAGAACAAAAAATCTAAGTGTACATTGTTATAAATATGAAACAGCAGAGAAGATCGAAAGGTAACATTTTCTTTACCTGGAAGTGTACTTTAAACAGACACCTCTCCAGAGAACTGAAAGCCATTACCTCATCCCACTGTCAAGAAGATTTTTGACTGTGTGTCACACATTAAACAATGTTCACATCCCTACACACATTAACGTGTACTGCACCAGTCTATGATGCAATCAATATTAGTGTATAGCCATACACCAATAGGAGGGCAACACATCCTTCATGTGCAGCACTCCCCTTGAATACATTGTGTACACCACAGGCTCATTCTCAGTGATGCAAAAGAAACACACTGGAAGTGAAGAGAAAGGGTGGGTTGTTCTGCAGGGAGGTGAGTATCTATATAAAATACATTTTAAGGCAAGGTACAGTTGCAGACAAAAGTATTTGGACAGTTAAAAATAAAAGATAAAAATAATGTGATTTCTATCCTTTTTAATTTGTTGAATTGTAAAGTATAAATTAAAGTCGAAATTCAGCTTTATAACAAAACAACAAATTATTACCTAACATGCATAAATGTAAAATAACGTGCAAAAACTAATTTCACACTTTGACAAAAGTTTTTGGGCAACCAAGATATTTTGTACAACCCATTCATTGTTCATTACTTACAATCACCACGACTGAAATATAACGCCTGACAGTAACCGTAAAATAAATAAGTACTTAATCATCGTGTTCTGAAAAATAAATAGGAAATCTGTGATCTAGAAAAGCAATAAAATTGTTTAAAACTATAGAGTACAGGAAAAATCTCAAAATGGCAGTGATACAACTAAATAAAAACAGAGAAATTAATTGAAAAATACACTAACAGCAAATTTAACAGTAAACAAGTTTTTTTTTTTAGTAATTAAAATTTTTGGCAACATGGTATCAAGTCATCATCAGGTTAGAGTCCAGAACCTCATCCCACCTGGACTGAAAGGCTTCTGTGAACAAATGTATGCCTAGGTAAGGTGGGGGTAGAAGGATGCCCAGACACTGGTACAAGTCTCTAAAATCTTGTAATTTGATTAAGAGAAGAAAGCAAATTAATGTAAAAAATAATAATTTGTTTAGAGGTTCCACCTGAAATTAGTAAAGTTTTGCATCATTCTTTCTTGAAATCAAGAAAATAAAGGTAAGAAAGAGAACACTTTGAATGTGAACAAAAAGTTTAAAATAACAAGTGCAAATATTTCATAATCTGAAATAAAAACATACGTGTGAATTACTAGCACTGCCAAGGAAAGAATGATTCTTTGGTATACTTAATGTATCAGGTCGTCAAGAAATTAATGTCGCATTTATTAAATGAAATAGTCTATATTCTTATCTATGATGCTTTTTCATCTTACAAACAGGTGGTTAATTTCCTGATTAAAGAAATCACTTGGCTTTGAAGCAAAAAACATGTTGATGTCCTCTTTAACACCTTCCACATTTGCATACGTTTTCCCATTAAGATGGTGTTGCAGCAAACAAAAAAGGTAGTAAACTGATGGTGCCATATCTGGAGGATATGGTGGGTGGGGGAAGAACTTCCCAACCCGACTCCATTATCTTGTGTTGCATCAAACGTGCCAAATGTGGACGTGCATTGTCGTGGAGAAGAAGAACAGCTTTACGATTGATGAGTGAAGGGCTTGATTTAAACATTCCACTTGCTGACTATAAATCTCTGCATTGACAGTTTGCTGTAGATTGAGGAGTTCAAAATGAATTACTTCCTTGATGTCCCACCAAATTCAAAGCATCACTTTCTGCGGATGGAGTCCATGTTTTGGGGTCGGAAGTGGTTTTTGTCTAGGACTGAGCTGTTATTTTTGGCACTTAATATTCACACAGAGAATCCAATTTTCATCACCGGGTGACAATTTTGTCCAAAGAAGAGACGAAGCAATGTTCACATGTTGGAAACGATAATCATCGGAGAGTTTGTGAGGCACCCAAACACCTTCTTTATGAAGTTTCCCATATCCCTTAGATGTTTAAGTATTGTTTCATGAGAGACATACAATTTAAGGGCCATTTCATGAGTGTGTTGCCTTGGGTTAGAATCAACTAGTGTTTT